GGGCGCCGCCACACTTGGCAGTGTGCTCCCCTGCTCCCCCCGAGCCCCACGTTCCCAGGGAATGTAGGTCACCCAACTACAATCGCTGCTCTGTGCCTTGTGCTGCTGGCTATGCCTCTGTCCCTTGCCGACGTGGGGCTGGGAACGTCGTGCTGTGGGGACAGGGGACACCCACTGCTGTCCCCGAGGCTTCTCCCTGCTAAAAATGAAGATGTTGGCTGCTCCCTTCGGTAACACCGGGGAGCGGAGGGGACGCGTCCTTCTTCATCACGTGCAAAAGCGGAATTGTGGTGTTGGGTGCTTTAATTGCTGTTAATTTTTCCCTGTTTGTTGGTGTTTCCAGGTCTGGGCGTTACACTGGCAGCCTCGCAGCAATGCCACTCCACGCCACCAGAGCCGCCGCGCTCCTCGCTTGGGTAACACACAGTGATGGTGCTGGGGGGGGGGGGGGGGGGGGGGCCCCCCGGGCCCCCGGGGGCTCGGGGGCGGGGGACAAGAAGCCACGGTGCTGCTTGGGATTTGAGTTGTGGGTGCTGCTTCCTGAGCTCCCTAATTCATTTCTAGGTGAACAGCACCAAGGTGTGCATGGAGCCCCTTGGCGATCTGTCCCAGCTGCAGGACTGCCGTGTTTTCATCCAGATCATCAATAAGATGTGAGTGCTCAGGTGTAATTACTCCTCCCCTTACCCCCTGTGCCGTGGGAGCTGCTCTCCTTCCCCAGATGCTGCTGGGAGAAGGAAGGGGTGTGAACACTTTGGCTTTGGCTCCATGAAGGAGCACCCCACAAAGTGGGCGCAGATCCCTCCCACCGACCCATCACAGCACAGGGACCGCTTTTGGGGAGAGGAAGGGCAGAACTCCGATCTTGGGAGCTGCATGAGCTGCATCCATCACTTGCGAGCGCGAGGGTGATTAAAGCTGGCGTGTAATTAGTGCCCCAGTGAGGCCGTGCTCCCGCAGCCGGTCCCGAGGAGCTCAGCCCTCGCTATAATTATCTCCAGCACGGTGTAACAAGAGCTGCTCGGAGCAGGGCGGGGAGGAAGGAGCCATGCACTGAGATATATTTAGTCAGAGCTGCTTCACCTCTCCGGCTGCTCTGTGGCTGGGATTAGCCGGGATCACAGCACCATGCGCTCACCCCACAGCCGATCCCTGCACCAAATCCCCCCATTTGTGGTGCCGTGAGGGTGAAGCACTGTCGGCAGAGCGTGGCTGGCGGGCACGTGGTCTGCATTTGTGTTGGCTGCGCTGAGCAGAAGCGTTGGATGAGAGCCACGGCAGCCAGCTGCAGTTCCTTCCTTAAATCCAACAGCTTTGCTCCTCTCTGTGATTTGCCCTGCCCAGAATCGAGCTCCGGAGCACAGCGTGCAGTGTGGTGTGGCTGATCCTGAGGGGGGGCTCCCCCCGGTTTTATCGGGGCTGCCAGCAGCAGGGATTGCTCACTTTGCTGCCAGGCAGCTCGGGGAAAACCCCGGCTTGCAGAGAGCCAAAGAGCCGCCTCTGGGCTTTGAAAGCAGCCTTTGTTCCACCTCTTGCATAGCGCTCACGATGCCCGTGCTCTCTTGCAGCCACAGGACTGAGGAGGGGGAGTCTGTCCTGGAGCAGCCCCTGGAAGAGCGAGCAACCTTCATCTGTGGCTTCCTGCAGAGTAAGAGCCCGGCATGGTCCCATCCTGCAGCCTGGCCCCCCTTCCCTGCAGGCTCACATCTGTGGTGCCCCCGGGTGCCTGGAGGGCTGTGTCCCAGCATCGGGCTGCATCTCCTCACCCTCCTCCCGCTCTTCCTTGCTCGTGTGCTTGGAAACCTTCTTTTGCGTTGCAGAGCTCTGCAAGCACAAATCAGCCACGGAGAACCTGGTGTCAGCACAGAAGCTGCTGCAGGGAGAAGAGCTGGAGTTGGCCAAGGTACCTCGGTGCCACGCAGGTCTTTTGGCCCTTCACACGTTCTCTCTGCCGTGAGAAAACGTGGGGTACCCTGGTGGGACTGCGTTGTCCCCGGGGCTGATGGTGGCTCTGAGGTGGTGGCTGCACCTCGAGGAGAGTTGGCGCGTGCCTGGTGCCACCTGACTGCCCCTGACACACTGCCTGCTTCCAGGTAGCCGTGCTGCTCCTGTACCACAGCTCCATGAGCAGCAAGAGCCCCCGGGATTGGAATGAATTCGATTACCAGGTCCAGGTAATGCCCCGAGGTCCCAGGGTTGACTGTGCACCCACACCTCCATCCCAGAGTTCACCTGGAGCCCTGCTCTCATGGCTCCTGTCCCACAGGTCGAGCTGGCCACCATCCTCAAGTTCGTGCTGGACCATGAGGAGAGCCTGAGTGAGAACCTGGAAGCATTCCTGCAGCGCAGAGGTGAGCGTGGCCCTGGGTCGAGCCCGGTGCCAGCTGTCAGCAGTGGGGTGTGCAGGGAGGAAAGAGGAGAGGTCCGTCCCAGCTGGGGTCTGTGCTTCCTGTACACTTGGGGCTTTGGATCTGAGCCTTCATCCTCCTGATTCCTTCTTCCTGGTATGAAACCAAAACCTGAACTGTGCTCCTTGCCTCCCAGCACCGCTGTCCTCACCTGGCACATCCAGCAGCAGCTCTGAGGAGCGCTCGCCAGGGCTCTCCCACCCGCAGGTGCGCTTCCTGGAGCTGCAGAAGATCGCCTCCTCTTCCTCCAGCATGAACAAGTACGTCCTTGTCCTCTGGCACGTTTTTGGGGGGGACATGGAGGTGTCATCAGGGGTGTCCTTTGCTAACAGCAAGCACAGACACTTCCCAGAGCAGCTGGTGTCTCCTCCTGTCCTGGGCTGGGTTGCAGAGGGCTGGGCTCTGTGTCTCTGATGCTAAGCAGGGTTCTTCCTGCAGCATGCTCCCTGGAGCACCCGCCTCACCTGTGGGGGATGTCCTGCAGACCCCTCAGTTTCAGCTGCGAAGGTTGAAGAAGCAGCTGGCTATCGAGAGGGAGAACCGGGACGAGCTGGAGATGGAGCTGGCAGAAAACCGCAAACTCATCACTGAGAAGGGTCGGTGCCTGGGGGGGTGTCCTGGGCACAGGGAGGGGTCTCCAGGGCAGAGACCTGTGGGTTTGGGACTTTCTGTGATGGCTTTGTCTCTACTAGAGCCACGCTCAGGTCCTGAGCCCAGATGAGCACAGCTTGCAGCTTCAGATCGAGCATGTTGGGGTTGGCTCTGCTTTGCTCCAGTTCCTCTTTCCTTTTTTCACTCCCAATTCTGAGCAACCAGAGCTCCCTGAGTGATGCCAGCGCTGCCCAGCCTGGCTCCTTGTGCCTTAGCTTTCCCCTGGGCAGAGGGATGAGTGTCCCACGCTGTGCTGGGAGCTCAGCCTAGCAGCAGGGGGTGGTGACGTGCCCTTCTCATGGTGATGTGCCCTGCTCTCCACGCTCCCCAGAGGCTCAGATCAACATGATGCAGCACCGCATCGACCGCTTGGCTCTGCTCAATGAGAAGCAAGCTGCAGACCAGCTGGAGCCCAAGGAGATGGAGGAGCTGAGGGAGAGAAACGAAAGGTAACGCCCGCGGGTTTCTGTGTCCCTGAAAGCTTTTGGGGTGATACTGGATGCTGTTTCCTAAAGGTTCCCATTGCTGGAGCCCAGCTGTTGGATTTGGTATAGGAATCTTCAGTGCAGCCAGCGAGCTCGCAGTGGGCTGCAGCTGAGTGAGCCCAGAAGCTGCTTTTGGCCTAAAACTAGAACTCCTGAGCGTGGGTCTTTGAGCTCCCATCTCTTTACGCATTGTTAGTTGCATCAGATCTGAGCTGGGCTGGAACTGTCACTGCCATGCTGCGTCCCACTCTGTGCCCTGTCCCCTGTCTGCAGCCTGGAAGCTGTTTCACTCATTTTTTCTTATGTTGCAGAGGTTCTAACTGGAGTCCTGCAGCTCTGGTTCAGGGTGGTCAGGGCCACACATAGCTCAAACACCAGCTGCCTCAGCTGTGTTCTGCTTCATGGCTTGTCAGGGCCCCGCTTAGGGCTTTCTCAGCAGCGCGCAGAGATGCCCGCATACCCTGGTGTCCCCAGCGATGCCCTCTCTTCCCTTGCTCTTGCTGAGGTGTGCCACTGCTCTCCCACAGCCTGCTGGTGCGCTTACACGAGGCCCTGAAGCAGTGCCAGGATCTGAAGACCGAGAAGGGCCAGATGGACCGCAAAATCAACCAGCTCTCCGAGGAGAACGGGGATCTCTCCTTCAAGGTACGGGGCCGCACTCTCCTGTTTTGCATCTTGGTGGCAGTGCTCTTTGCAGACAGCCCTTGAAGCAAGGGCAGCATCAGCCTTGAAAACAAAAGCTGCATTGGCAGTGGGTGCAAAGTACATTTCGGGTTTGTCCTTTGTGGTCTGTAAACGTTGCCTGCGTTCAGCACCTTGGATGCGGTGTGGCTGATGAAGCCCTGCAAGCACCCGGATTTGGGATGGCCTCCAATGTTTCCATTGAGCTGAGCTGACTTCCCTGCTTCCCTCACAGCTGCGGGAGATCGCCAGCCACATGGTGCAGCTGCAGGATGCCCTGAATGAACTCTCCGAGGAACACAACGCTGCGCAGACACAGTCGCAAGCAAAGCAGGTGCAGCTGGAGGGCGAGCTGAGGGCTGTGCTGCAGGAGAAGGTGAGGGGCTGGGGGCGGGTGTCTGCCAAGAGCAGCGAGTGTCCCCCACCTCCTGCCCTGCTCCATCCCCTGTCTGTGTCTGCAGAAATGCCTGGAAGAGAAGGTCGAGATCCTCCAGGGGAAGATTTCCCTGCTGGAAGACCAGCTGGCCAAGCTGGGGGACTGCAGCACGCAGGAAAAGGGAGAGGTCATGGGTGATGTCTTGAAGGTACAGACAGGTTGTTTGTGATGAGAGCGAGCTCAAAGCTTTTCCAGCCATGGCAATGCCCAGCAGCCCAGCAGTCCTGCTGTGCCCCAGCATGCAGCAGTGAGGGGACAGAGCTGGGTGCTCCCTTCAGGGTGCCTGCTGTGGGGCTCAGCGTGCCACCTGCATGATGTTTGGGACTGCAACTCCCTGCTGGCTGCACCAGTGGGGATGGAGCTGCTTCTGCACAGTGGAGGAAGGGGTTTGCTCTCAGAAATGCCTGAAGTGAAGGCAGGGCTCGGCTTGTTGGGGTGTGCGGTGGGCTCGCTGGCTGTAAAGTTCTTGTGGAATTGTTGTGTGCTGCTCGAGTGATGTCTGGGGATGTTTTTGTTATGTTTTCCCTCCTTCTTTTTCTCTCCGCCAGCTGGAAGAGCTCAAGCAGGAGGTGTCCAGCCTCACCACCAAAGGCATCGAGCTCCAAGCCTCCGTCCTGCGGCTGGAGGAGGAGAAGAGCCAGCGGGATGCAGCACTGCAGGCAGAACGCAGCCGCTTCGAGGTGGAGAAGCTCCAGCTTGGAACCCACATCTCCACCCTGCAGAGCTCCGTCTCTGAGCTGCACCTGGCCAAGGAGAAGCTGGAGCAGGAGCTGCGGGCGCAGGAGGCGCGCCTGACGGCCCAGGCGGACGCACTGACGGCAGAGGTGGGCAAACTGAGTGGTTTCCTGCAGCAGCAGGAGCAGGAGGCAGCTGGGCTGCGGCTGCAGGTGGAGAAGGAGCGGGCGCAGGCAGAGGAACTGCGGCGTCGGGATGTGGCCTCCCAGGAGGCTGTCAGCGAGCTGAGCCGGCGCGTGGAGCAGCTGGGTGCCAGCCTGAAGCACAGCGAGGAGGAGCTGGCACGGGTCACGCAGGAGGCGGAAGGGAAAACCAGGCAGCTTGGGGCTGAATGTGAGAAAGCTGTCCAGGAGAGGGACGCAGCCCTGCAGCAGCTGCAGCACTTGCAGCATGCCAAGGAAATGCAGCTGGCGGCCCTGAGCAGCCAGCTGCAGAGCCTGGAGGCGGCCAGCAAAGCTTCGTCCATGGAAATGCAGCAGGAGAAAGCTGAGTTGAATGAGAAGGTCCAAGAGCTGCAAGCCCGTGTCCTCGAGCTCAGTGCACAGTGCCAGCAGAGCTCGGCCCAAGCGGGGAGCACCGAGACACTGCGAGCCCAGCTGCGGGAGCTGGAGGGCAAGCTGAAGGAGAGCCAGCAGAAGCTGGCTGACAAGGAGAAGGTGGCCAAGGAGAACACGCGCCTGCAGGAGCGGCTGCTCTTCCTGGAGGAGTCAGTGCGCAACACAGAGGGCATCCTGGAGGATGAGAAGAGGAGGGCAGCTGAGAGTCTGGAAGGGAACCTGGCCCGGATTGCAGAGCTGGAGGCAGAGAAGCAGCAGCTGGTGCAGCGTGGTGAGCAGGCCCTGCAGGAGCGAGGAGAGGAGCTGGCCAGGAGGCAGGCACTGGAAGCACGGCTGCAACAGGTGGCAGAGGAGCGCCGGGAGGAGACGGCAGCCCTGCAGCGGCAGCTGGCAGAGGTGGCCAAGGGGGAGGAAGGAGAGCGTGGCAGGCTGGAGAAGAGGCTGCAGGAGCTGAACCGGGAGAACAGGCAGGCCTGCCAACGGCTGCAGGCCGAGCAGGAGAGGGTGGCAGACCTGGAAGCCCGCATGGCACGCATGGCCGATGAGCAGCAGGAGCAGCTGGCCGCCCTCCAGGCCCAGCTGGCTAGCGCTAAGGAGAAGGAAGGCAAGGAGCAGGAGAAGCTGGCGAGCGCCGAGCGCGTGGTGAAGTTGGAGGCAGAGGTGCAGAAGGCGAGCGAAGCGCTCGAGGCCATCTCCAAGGAGCTGTCACACGAGAGGCTGAAGTCCAAGGAGCTGGAAGCCATGGCCACGCAGGAGGCCGGCGAGGTGGCCCGGCTGAGCGTGGCGCTGGAGGAGGCAGCACGGGAGCACGGGCAGGAGCTGGCACGGCATGAGGAGGAGGCAAAGCGCCTGCAGAAGGAGCTGGAGGACGCCAGGGCTGATTGCGCTGCTGAGAAAGCACGCAAGGCAGAGCTGGAGGTACAGCTGCAGAACTCCATCAACGAGCAGCGGGTGGAGCGCTCGGCGCATCAGCAGGAGCTGGCGCGGTCCCTGGAGCTGATCGAGGAGAAGGAGGGAGAGCTGGATGAGCTGCGGCTGAAGAACGTCTCGCGGGGCGAGGAGCTGAGGGACCTGCAGAAGACAGTCAGCAAACTGAAAGGGGAGCTCGCCTCAGTGGAAGCGGTGAAGGAGCGGGCGTCCAAGATGGACAGCGAGCTGCAGGGCTTCCTGGAGGCAGCCCGGAGCCGGGATGCCGAGGTGGACAGCATCAAGGCGGTGTACGCCAAGGAGGCATCCCTCAAAAACCTGGAGGAGAAGATTCGTCACCGAGAGCAGGAGTCTGGCTCCAGCCAGGACCTCTACCAGGAGAAGCTGAAGGAGGCCCAGATGCTGAGCGTGGAAGTGGAGCGGCTGGAGCAGAAGTGCCGGGAGCAGCAGGACACCATCACAGGGCTGGAGAAAGCCGTGGCTGAAGGCCGGGCTGCCGCGTCCCAGCAGCAGCAGGCAGAACTGGAGGCGTCACGGAGGGAAGCGGCGCAGCACCGGGAGACGGCAGCAGAGCTGCAGAAGCAACTGGAGGCCTCACGCTCAGCCCAGGCCCTGCAGGATGGCAACCTGGAGAGCCTGAGGAAGGAGCTGCAGGACAAGAGCAAGGAGCTCGCCCAGAGCAAAACGGCTGTGGCTGCTGCCGAGAAGGAGCTGGCATCCCTGCGTGCTGCGGCGCAGGAGAAGGGCCACCTGGAGGAGGGCTGGAAGGAGCAGCTGTCACAGTGCATCCAGGAGCTGGAGAGGAAGAACAGCCTGCTGGGCAGCCTGGAGCACGAGGTGTCCATCCTGCACCGGCAGCTCACCGAGAAGGAGGGCGAGAGCAAGGAGCTGAAGCGGCTGATCATGGCCGAGTCGGAGAAGAGCAAGAAGCTGGAGGAGAGGCTGCGGGTGCTGCAGACCGAGATGGCCACGGCCGCGTCGCGGGCGGCCGAGCGCTGCTCGCTGATGAAGGTGGAGGTGCAGAGATGCCAGGAGGAGATGGAGAAGCAGCGGATGACCATCGAGGCACTGAAGAGGGACCGCCACTGCCAGAGCGAGCGCGAGGAGGAGCTGCGGCAGGAGGTGAAGGTCTGCCAGGACAAGTTCTTCCAGAAGGAGCAGCTCCTCTCCTCCCTGCAGCAGGAGCTGGGCAGTGCCCAGGCGTTGGCCGGAGAGGTGGTGCCGCTGAAACACCTCTGCCAGCAGCTGCAAGCTGAGCGTGCCTCGCTGGAGAGCAAGCACCGCGAGGACCTGGAGCAGAGGGCGAAGGCCACCAATGCGCTGCAGGCAGAGCTGGCCCGGGCCAGGCTGGAGGTGGCCGAGCTGCCAGCCCTGCGTGACAGAGCAGCTGAGCAGGAGCGTGCGCTGCAGCGGCTGCAGAAGGAGGCAGCGAGCTCCAGCGAGAGGCTGGCAGCCCTACAAGCAGCCAACGGCCGGCTGGCTGAGGAGAACCGTGCGCTGAATGAGAGCGTGAGCCGCGGGCAGCAGCGCCTGGATGCTGAGCTGGGGCAGGTGAGGGAGAAGCACACACGGGAACTGGAGTGCGTGAGGCTGGAGGCGGAGAAGGCGATGGCCAACAGCAGGCAGGAGGCCGAGGAGGCGGCCAGGAAGCTGGAGGCGATGAGCAATAAGTATGAAAACGCCAAGGTGAAGGTGCTGGAGGAGAGGCAGAAGTTCCAGGAGGAGAGGCAGAAGCTGATGGCGCAGGTAGGGGCTGGCGGAGGCTCTGCGGTGTGGGTGCACGACGTGGGTTTTGGGGCAGAGCAATGGGGATGGGGCTGTGCCATGGGGGGGGGCACGTGGGCTCTGTTTCTGTGTCACTCTGTGTCACTCGCTTCTGCTGGCTCTGCCCAGGGCTGTGCTGGCTTCCTGCTGAGTTGGTTGCCCATGAGCTTCCCAAAAGCCCTTAGAGCCAGGGCTCTGCTCCCACCCCATCCCCATTCCTAAGCCATGGGCTGTCTTACAGCCCAGGTTCACCAACCCCAAGTGTCTTTGCTCCCACCCCATCCCTGTTCCTAAGCAGGGGGGTTATCTTAAGGCCCAACATTCATTAAGGCACAGGGGAAGCCCCGATTTCATCACAACCCTACAAACCCTTCCCTTGGGCCCCTCGGGATGGGAGCTGGGGGGCTGCACACCTGCAGGGAGCAGTGCCCTGCGCATGCCATGTGTTCACCCTTTCCTTTTTGCTTGCCACAGGTGGAGCAGCTAGAGGTATTTCAGAAAGAACAAGCAAAGCAGGTAACACACATGGAGTGTCAGCTGCTTAAACGGTGACGGCGTGCGGCCCCATCCGCCTGCCAGCAGAGCTGCTGCCTCCTTACCCACTGATGGCAGCGGGGTGTTCCCAGCTCCAGGTCTCTGGGCTCTCATGTTCACCCCATGGGGAGGAGGAACAGAGTTTCCCACCCTTCCACCCTCACGCATTGAGCTGGAGGCGTTGGATCGCGGGTGTTTTTTTATTTGATTTGATTTGATTTTGTAACGCAGCACTTGATCTCAGAGCCAATCTCTGGGGAACTGTTGCTGCTCGAGCAGATGTGGCCAACGTGGGGCTGGTCGTCACGGGGTCACCCCCATCCCCTGCCCCACCTTGTGGGGACAAAGCCCCCATCCCTGTCCCCAGCCTAGAGGTTTCGCAGGATGCTCCCTCGTCCCTGGGGAGGTGACGGCCCCTGGGGCAACGCGCTGAACTTTGGCACGGCAAAACCATTTGGGGCTGAGCCTCCTCCCGCTGCTTGATCCCACTGTGGACAGTTGGCGCTGGAGACGGCTGCGTCGGCCACGGGTGTGCGAGGGGATGGCCAGAGGAAGGGGGCAGCAGAGTTTTCCTTCCCTGCCTGCTGCCCTCGGGTGACCAACCTGTGCCCTGCCAGGTGGAGGAGCTGAACAAGAAGCTGGCACAGCATGAGAAGGCCACGCGGAGCCAGCAGCAGAGAGTTAAGGTGGGTAGGGGCAGCTGGGGCAGCTCTGCTGTGGAGCTGGGGTGGAGGTCTGATCCGATCCCTTCCATGCAGGTGCTGGAAGGAGAGCTGCAGAGCGAGGCCACGCGCCAGCAGGAGAGGATGGCTGAGCTGCAGGAGCAGCTGGCACAGAAAGAGCAGGCGGCCGAGCACTACAAAGCCCAGGTGAGCCGCTGCAAGCCATCGCCATCCCTGCGCTCAGCGGGGGAACCTCGACGGGCTGCTGATTTTTTCCCTCACCTTCTGCTTCTTCTCAGATGGAAAAGGCAAAAACTCACTACGACGCAAAGAAGCAGCAGAACCAGGACCTGGCAGAGAAGCTGAAGGCCATGGAGCAGCTGCAGAAGGAGAACGCGGAGCTGAGGACGGAGTCGGAGCGCTTGGCCAAGGAGCTGCAGCAGAGCGTGCTGCAGGCCAAGGAGGCCGAGCTGAGCTGCAGGGAGCTGAGCGGGCAGGTCCGCAGTCTGGAGGCACAGGTAGGCACAACCCAACTCTCTGCCTTCCTCCTTCCTCTTCCTCGCTCTAAGAGTGGACCCACCTCTCCCTGCTTCCCCCCAGCTGGAGTTTGCTGACCAGCAGCTTCGGGAGCTCGGCAAGTTGCCGGCCCCCAAGGCCACGCTGAAGGAACCGGAGAGCTTCCGCCAAAACCCCTCCGACCTCAGCACCGACAGCCTGGACCTCAGCCTGGACGAGGGGCAGCCACTCAACTCCACCAGGTACGGTGCTGCCTTGTGGCCTCGTGCAGCCCCCAGCCCCGCTTTGCCCCCCAGCCCCACGCTCAGCCCTCGTGCCCCATCCTGCAGGAAAGCCACCCGCTCGCACTCGGACGGCTCAGCCGTGCCAGATGGCGCAGAGCCACGCACGTCACAGCGGCTGCCACGCAAGGTGGAGTCCTTGGAGAGCCTCTACTTCACACCCATCGCCAGCCGCACGCAGCCCAAGCTGGAGAGCAGCACGGGTTCTCTGGGCGACGTGTCGCTGGAGTCGGGCTGCAGGACGCGCTCGGGGCGCCGCCGCACCACGCAGATCATCAACATCACCATGACCAAGGTGAGCGGGGCCGAGCCAAACGCTGGGCTGGGGGTCTGCTGCATCACCTCACTCTTCCCCTCTTCCTTCTGCCAGAAAGAGACCGCCACGGAGGAGCCAGGCGGCGCGGACGCGTCCTTCAGCAGCATCCTCTCTGAGCAGCCCCAGAAAGCCGCCCCAGTGCGTTCCCGGCTGCGCTCTGCACGCTCTCTGGCCAGCTTCTCCTCACAGGACTCCCTGACCAAGCTGGACACCTCCTCCCCTCAGGAGCCATCAGGCCACGCTGCACTGCTCAGCCTCCCTGGCTACCGGCCGGCCACACGCAGCGCCCTGCGACGCTCTCAGGCGGGCAGCAGCTCCAGCTTGGGTGAGCGGGGCCGGCTGGGTGCAGAGCTGTATCCTGGTCTAAACGCGGGGCTGCCCCTCTCCAACTCTCCCCATTTTGCTTTCAGGTCGCAGCAGCATCTACCTGGGGACGTGTCAGGATGAACCGGAGCAGCTGGATGATTGGAACCGCATCGCCGAGCTGCAGCAGCGCAACCGCGCCTGCCCGCCGCACCTCAAGACCTGCTACCCTCTGGAGAGCCGGGTAACAGGGGGGGCACCCAGCCACCTCATCCCACCGCACCCAGCTGTGTGCAGCCCCTGACTCCCGCTCTTCCTCCCCACCCCTGCAGCCTTCTGACTTGCTGGGCACCATCACGGATGAGGAGATGAAGACGGGCGACCCGACGGAGACGCTGCGGCGCGCCAGCATGCAGCCCTCGCAGATCGCCGAGGGGACGGCCGCCCGCCGCGGCACGCTGGGAGCGGGGTGGGCTCCCGGTGGCATCACCACCAGGCAGCAGCGCAAACGGCTCTCAGATGAATCCCACCAGGGCCCCGAAACCCCTGAGGTGAGCGGAGACCCCTCGGCGTCCCACCCCGAAGATCAGGGTGCGAAGCGCCAGATGCTGCTGGCCATGGAGACTCTCCTGGTGCAGCTCCGAGCCCTTCTGACTTTCCCCGCTCCCATCCCAGCTCTGCCACCTGGGTTGCGATCCCACTTCCCAGCTGAACGTCCCCACTCATCCTCTCTCTTGCTTCTCTTCCCAGTCCAAGAAGCCTGTCAGCTGCTTCCCACGTCCCCAGACCCCCCGGGAGCGGCGCAGCTCCCACCTCAGCCGGCGGAGCGAGCAGCAGGCGCCCAGCAAGCAGGTGGGCGGCTCAGAGGGACTTTGGGAAGGAGAGCCAGAGCTCCCTGGCCCATCCTGAGCCCCTCGCCGTCCTTCTTTTTCCTCCCAGCCTGAACGGCGCCAGTCGATGGCCTTCAGCATCCTCAACACCCCCAAGAAGCTGGGGAACAGCCTGCTGCGCCGAGCTGCCAACAGGAAAACCACCCCCAAGAACTCCCCCCGCGGCACGGCGCGCCGCTCGCCCCGCATCGCCTCCACCAAGTCGCCCAAGGGCAAGGTGGGCAACCTGGGGGGCACCTCCTGAGCCCCCTTTGCGGGGTGGCCATCCCTCACCCCCCTCCTCTGTCTTGCAGGCCGGCCGCAGAGCGCTGAAGGACACCAAGTTCTGAGGTTTCCCAGCCTGTCTCCTCGCTCCTCCTTGCTGCCTCCCAGCTCAGCGCCACCAAAGGGACTCGGGACCGCTGTGGGGCACGCGGGGCAGAGGGAATGGGATGGTGCCATCAGTCCCCGAGGGACCCTGGCTCCCTGCTGCCCTCGTGGAGGGGGGGAGGAGACCTTTTTAAAAGTGTTTCTACTTGTAAATAAATTGTATTTTTCTCCTGCTGTTGGAGTCCTGTTTCTACGGGCAGGAGCAGCGCCGCGGGTTCAAGGAGTTCAAGCTTTTGTGCAAGGGTTTAGTGACTGGTTCTCACTAAACCACGTGGTGACCGTTGGATGGTTGGACTGGATGATCTTGTAGGTCTTTTCCAAGCTTGGTGTTTCTGTACTGCCCCCAGCACTGGGGCCAGGAGCAGCTTGATTCAGTACCGTGGGCTTCGTGCCACGCTTTGCCCTGTCTTCTTCCCCCCACTCCTCCTCCCCCTCGTGCCCACCCCATCCCCTCCAGGCAATGCTGCACCCAGAGTTCTCTTTTCTCTCCTTTGTTTTATTTCTCTCTCTCAACTCCTCACACCTCCAGGAGCTGCAACCTGCCCTAAAACTCCACCCGCAGGGCCACCATCAGCCCCACGTTCCCTACACCCCGCACTGTGTCACGGGGAGGGAGGTGATCAACCCCCCTTGTAGTCAGATGCTCACATTTACTGGTCCCAGTTCACACTGCTGAGTGGTGCAGTGATGGGAGCAGCAGCAACGTGGCTTCTTCCTTCAGCCCCCTGGGCCCTGCTGCCTCCTCTCCTGCGCTGAGCTCGTGCCACGTGGGGCAGAATTGAACGAGCACCACAAACCACAGCCCCAGAGCACAGTGGGGCCGAGTCTCTCTCTGCAGATCATTGCTTGTTGGAGGGGTCCATCACTCCCCACAGGTGCTGCAGTGCTGCTCCACCTCTGCTGAGCTGAAGCAGAGCCCGCAGATGGGGCACAGCACCGGGCTGCTGGCAGAGGAAAGCAGCTCCACCTCGGGGTCGGATTCTTCCTCACCGCAGCGGGAGGCGTGAGCGGGGAGCAGCGCTGTGCTGAAGGAACCTGTGGGGATGGGGGTGGAGAGGAGGTTGTGCCACAGCTTGGGGCTGAGCCCCCATCGCTGCTCCGTGCTCGTGCCCACCTCTCCAAGCACCCACCTGAGCAAATAGGGCACAGAGCCATCTCCCCCCCGCTTCTCTCCCCTCTGCTCGCATTGCAGCCCTGCATTCTTGCTCTCTTTCCTGGCCCAGGATTCCTGGTGAGAGGCTGAGGGGACCTGGGTGGTGGAGGGGTTGTGGGGGTGAGGATGTGCAGGGAAGCAAGAGAGGGAGCTGCTGGATCCCAAGCACATCGGGTGCAGGGAAGGGAGCTGCTCTGAAGGATTCAGAGCCACAAAATCAGAGTGAGGGTGGGAGAAGCAGAGCGACGCAGAGATCCATTACCTGCCCACAGCTCTGCCAGCTCTCTGCCTGCTGCCCGACTGCCTGCGGGTGCGCTTGGGGGCTGCTGGGACTTTCAATGCTGCACCTGCAGGAGAGCAAGAAGAGATCCTCCCTTCGTACGTGACCTCCACCATTTTCTCAAGACACGTCCTACCCTGCCCGGCTGAACCCTGGCTGCCAGGAGAGCCAGGATCCCTCCTCCAGATCCACAGATCCCCTCGCCTGAGCTCTCAGCGGGGCACAGCGCTGAGGCCCTCACTCACCCCGTGCTGCAGGCTGTCCCTGCTCTGCGCTGCTCCCCGGGTGGCTGGCAATAATTCGGGGTGGAGGCCTCACGGCACGGCTCTGCGCTGCTGACAGCACCATGCGTGCCGGGCGGCTGAGACGTGCTGGGCTCCAGGCATGGGATGCAGCACTGGGCTCCAGCTGCTGCAAGCTGCTCTTCAGCTGCTCCTCCTCCTGGGAGCTCCTGGGGGCAGAGAATCGTTGATCCCACTTCCCTGTGCCCCCCAGGGCTGGGGGACACCTCTGACGCAGGGAGGGATGCGGGCACAGAGAACTCAGAGCCCAGATCCCCGCAAATGCTGACTCAGAGCGAGGCAAAGCAGACCCCCATGATTACCCCACATCCATCTTTCAGCCCCACACCCCGACCCCAACCCCAGGGCTACTCACAGGCGCGCTTCTGCAGAGGGAATCCGGCACAAGGAGGCAGGGTTGGAGCGCTGGGGGCTGCCCATGAGCTCAGCGTCCTCCTGCAGGACGAGGCAACATCCCAACATCTGCTCTGTGCTCCCCACTGCTGTGGGGCTGGAAAAGGAGCCCCGGTCCCACGTCAACCTACCGCTGCGGGGTGGCACAGCTCGGGCTCCAGCAGTGTGCGCACGCGGATGAAGCAGAGCCCAAACTGCCCGCGGTGACGGAAGGGTTGGCTGCAGGTGAGCCGCAGGCGGTCCCACTTCTGCCCCACTGCCAGCTCCAGGAAATCTGCTGTGGGGTCATTGGAGGGCACAGGGCTATGGGGCAGCCCCACGCAACCTCTCCGCTCGACCTCTCGGAGAGGACAGGTTCAACTTTACCTTCTTTAAACATGCGGACGCCGCAGCGGTTGCGATCCAGCTTGGAGTCGGCCGGTGTCATCAGCGTGACGCTGGGGACCAGGGTGAGGTAGGGGCGGTCAAGAGGCCACGAGGAGCGACCCACCTCGATCTGCAGGAAGGCGCAGCCCCAGTTCCCTGAATAAAAGCCCAGGGAATGAAATTCAGGGCTTGAGGAGCGCTCACTGCTCCTCCCAGGGCTTGAAGCACGTCTGCTGTGCAATCCTGACCCACCACGAGCATCAACCTTTCACTGCAGCCCCTGCAAAGGGCACGAGAGGAGGACGCTCGTCCCCACCCAACAGCCTGAGCCCCCCATCCTCATACCAACATCGATGTAGCCGATGGGGACGGCTCTCTCCAGCTGTAGCTCCACCTTAAGCTGCCGGCTGCGCTCCTGGGGGCAGCTGAGCCAGGGCCGACGGCCATCGGGGGACAGGAGGTTCTCCACTGGGTACCGGGGGTCCTGCAGGAGGGGGAAACAGCACAGTGCTGCTCAGCTCCATGCCTTGATGGGATGGAATGACACACGGATTGCTCCACGCCCCCCACAACAGCCTGCAGGCACAGACCTGGGAGGAGAAGGACACGATGTGGCTGATCTTCACCGGTGCCATCTGGGGCTGTCCTGCAGGGTCAGCTTGTGGGGCTGGAAGGGAAAAGCAGCAGTGGGTGGGATCTGTGCCCCCCCGATGAATCCCTGCCCCGTTCAACGCTCAGCGTGCCCCATTTCCATCCCCCAGCCCTCCCCGGCCCCACTCAGCCCTCAATTCCACCCCACAATCCCCCTATCCCACTCCCCCAGCCCCATTCCACCCCAAACACCCCTCATTCCACCCCAAGCCCTACTCACACCCCACAGCTCCTCAAGGCCCACACCACACGCAGCCCCCCAGCCCCGCCCCCCATTCGCACCCCACATCTCCCCATCCCACCCCCGGCCCCACTCAGCCCCCAGCGCCCCACAGCCGTGCATCCTATATCCTGCACACCCCCAGCCCCACATCACAGCCCCTTCACCCCCAACCCCCTCCAGGCCCCTCCGCACAACTCCCACCTGAATCTCCCGCCTAAACTACACGGCTCCTGACCCTTAACCTCTGACCCCGCGACTCACTTCCGGTTCCGGCCCCGTCCCAGGCATCCCCAAAGACTCCGTCCTCTTCCCGCTTCCTGTTTCCGCTCGGGCCCTCCCATTGGACACGAAGGCCAGCTTCCGGTTCCGGTTTCCGCCCATACTCAAGCCCTCCCCGCATGCCCTGCCGCGGTGCATGATGGGATATGGAGTCCTCCTGCAGCGCCGCAGCACCACCTCTCGGGGAAGGGACCGTCCGCCGTGTGCGTTCCCTACGGAGAAACGTGAGAGCATCGCGCTGCCAGCACGGCCGTGCGCCTCTCGCCGGGAGCGGAAATGAGCGACGGTCCCCGATTCTGACAGCGCGAAGCAGCGCTTCTGACAGCCGTTCCGCCCCTTCTCGCTGTTGATTGGTCGCCGGCCGAGCGCCGAGCGAAGCGATTGGAAGGAAGCCCGGCGAGGTGGGCGGTGATTGGACGAAGGCGGCGGAAGGAGCTGGCGGGAGGTGGGGGGGGGCAGCAAGATGGCGGCCGTGCTGGAGGTGGAGGTTGGCGGCCCAGGAGAGCGCGAGGCGGAGGAGGTGGGGGCTGAGGAAGGGCTGGGAGGACCTGGGAGGGTCATAGGGCCTATGGGGGCCCGTGGGGTGGCAGGACTGAGGGGGACGCTGAGGAACGGCGGCTGTGGGGTGGCCCTCGGGGGGTCTGCGGGGGTCCCGCGGTTACCTTGGGGCCGAGGTGCGAAGCTGCAGAGCGAAGGAGCCTTCAGAGAGCTGTGAGAGGAGGGCAGTGCCCTCCTGTGCGCTCGGTGCCACGGGCGCTGATGGGGTAGAGGTGCTGTGGGAGGGAGGGAGCTGTGGGTTTCCCCAGAAAATTGGGGCTTTGAGTCAAGCGTCTCAGATATTGGGGCTGCGCTGGGTTCTGGGGTTTGTGCTGGGCTCTGGGGGCTGCGCTGGGCTCTGGGGGCTGCGCTGGGCTCTGGGGGGCTGCGCTGGGCTCGGGGGTTTGTGCTGGGCTCTGAGGATTCTCCGTGTGCTGAGCAGATCAACAGGGTGAGAGGGGAGGGCCTCAGTTTGTGCCATGGAGAGTCAAGGTGGGCACTTTGGATAACTTCTTCTTCCTAAGAGCGGCCAGGCGTTGCAAGAGGTTGCCCAGGGCAATGGGGGCAGCTCTGTCCCTGGAAGTTTTTATGAGCCATGTGAACGTGGCACTGAGAAATGTGGTTTAGTGCAAAGGCAGAAGACGCTGAACGCTGCTGATCAGAGCCAGCTCCATCCTTCTGACTCCTGCCATTTAGATACTGACCAGCATCCATCAGATCCCATCTCATCCTTCTCTCCCCCAGGTGCTCAACCCTGGGGCGCTCAGCTTGTCCCCATCAGGAGCTGCTCCAGGCCTCCAGCATCTCCTCACCCTTACTGGGCTCTCCCCAGCAGTTCCCTATCTGCCTGGAGCTGGGGAGCCCAGCACTGGGTGCAGCACTCCAGGTGCGGCCCCCCACCCCCCCAGGGCAGAATAGAAAGGAGGAGAACCTCCTTGCTCTGCTGGCCAAGCTCTGTGCACTGCCCTCCAGGGAACCATTGGCCTTCTTGGCCACCATGACAAACTGCTGCCTAACAGGTCAGCCTGTGGTCAAGTGTTGGCCAACCCTTGGCCAACCAGGACGTCGCTGTCCCTCTTGGCCATGGGGACACGCTGCTGCTTTGTGGTCACCCTGTTGGCCCCCAGGTCCTTCTCCACACAGCTGCTTTCCCTGAGCTGTGGTCCTCAGGAAGGAGATTCCTGTCCTGCATCGAGCAGAGTTGGATGCTCGCCCCGTCCTGCAGCCTTGGAGCTCTTTGGTGCTGCTGCTGCCTTGTGAAGCACCGGTTGTGGCCCTTCCCCAGAGGGAGGTGGTGGTTCCCTGAGCTGAGCATCGGGTCTGTGGTGGCTTTGGGGAATAGCACAGGAGTTTCCTTCCGAGCCCACAGTGCTGTGTGTGGGGAGAGGATGGGGGCAGAGCTCTATATCCAGGGTGCGTTCCCCACGCCGTCCCAGCAGCTGCACGCAGCACAGGGTCGTAGCGTTGGCCAGGTGCTGGTGTTTTTATTCTGAACAGGAAAGTTGGGTTGGAGCCTTGGGAGTGCTGGGTCAGTTTGGGGTGAGATTTGCCAGGATTGGGGCTGTCAGGAGCCCACACACACCTGTAAGAGGCTGTGATTTCATAGAACCTCTGGCTTGCAGGGAGTTAGAATCCTACAGTATCCCAAATTGGAAGGGACCCACGAGGATCATCAGATCCGACTCGAGTTGAGCGTTTTGTTTCCATCTGTTTCCTTCTCACAGAATCACAGAACGGCCTGGGTTGCAAAGGAGCACAGCGCTCATCCAGCTCCAACCCCCTGCTGTGTGCAGGATCACCAACCAGCAGCCCAGGCTGCCCAGAGCCACGTCCAGCCTGGCCTTGAATGCCTGCAGGGATGGGGCATCCACAACATGAGAGTGATTGCTGTGCTGACAGCAGGCTGCACAGCTTGTTAGAGGCAGAGCAGTGACTCTTTCAGCAGGTCAGGAAGCTCAGAGGAGAGCCCTGGCATCTCACAGATCTGCATCCTTCACCTGCAGAGACCGCGTCTCCCGTGGCTGTTGCTTGGGGACGAGGTGCTGCTGCTGGCATCTTGCTGTGGGCTGTGCCTTTTCCTGCCTGGGGACAATTAGGACAATTAAGGAGCAGAAGGGAAGCGTGGCACCTGAGCCCAGAGCTGTGTGCTGTAGCCCTGGGGACAAAGGTTGGAGCTGTGCCCTGATAGCCTGATAGCAGAGTCCTTGCCGTGACTTCTCACAGCCGTCTGAGCGCTGAGGTGCAGGGAGGTGACCTGGTGCTTTGGTTTTAAGGCAGAGGTTGAAAAAGCCCTGTGAGGAAGGTGGAAGGCAGAGCCAGAGGTTTCCCCCCCCTCCCCCCTTTCCAAGTCCTGGGCTCAGAAGTTTCCTCCTCGTATTTCAGAAGCGTCCCTGAGGTCTCAGGCAGAAGCTTTGCCATTTGCTGCTACCTGCAGGGATTGAGTTTCTGTGAGCAGTGTGCAGCTCCTGCAGCACGCTCGTGTGTTTGGGGACATAAGGACAGCAAAGCAGCCAACCCTCGAGATTGCCATCGCTGCTCCAACGTTGCTGTTGTATTTTTTGTCTCCTTAGGTCGACCTTTCACACCTGTCCCCAGAAGAGAGATGGAGGTGAGTTTGTGCTGGGAGCAGAGCTGAGAGCGCAGAGGAAGCCTTCAGCCTTCACCCACGTGGTGCTTTTTGCTGGAGGGGAGCAGGGGGCCTCTTTAAGAAGGCAGTGCTAATGTTTGACCTTCAGAGTGCTCGCTGCTTATCCCACCTTCTCTCTTGGCCGAGCCAACTGCGGGCAGACGCTTGCTGAGAAGCCCGCTGGGGCTCATCTGCTCTCATTATCAACTTCTTGACGGTTCCTGGAGATCAGAGAATTGGCCTTGCCTGTTGGATTGGGATTTCTTTCCTAACCAGACCCATCTTTTTGGCTTTAAGACCGTGGATTCAGGCTGTTGCACGCCCTCATTCCGCCCTGGCTTGCGGCCAGGCAGCGCTGCATGCAGGAAACCACAGGTGTCAGCAGAGAACAGCTCTGTGGCCATCACTTGTCGCGGGTTGCACGGAGCTGGGGTTGCCTAGGCTGCAGCTGGGGTGGGCTGGCTGATCTTTAAGATCCACGGAGCGACTTGCAGAGCTGCCCTTCTCCCTTTTTCCAGCAATGCGGGCAGCCCTGCCGTGCCCTTCGCCTGCTCTGTGCCCTCCTGCTCTTTATCTGCCTCCTCCCTCTTGCTGCAGGGTGGAACACGCACTGATGCACGCCAAGCACCGTGGCCACGAGGCCATGCACGCCGAAATGGTGCTCATCCTCATCGCCACGCTGGTGGTGGCGCAGCTCCTGCTGGTTCAGTGGAAGCAGAGGCACCCTCGCTCCTATAACGTAAGTGTCAGCCAGGGCTTTGATGTGGTGCTTTAGCAGCAGGGCCAGAGATGGGGCTGATTTCACGTGCTGCTTTTGAGGAGATGCAGAGAGGCATCAGGGCTGTGCCAGGAGCAGGGAAGCAAACCTCGTGGCTTCCTTACCGCGTTTCCAAGCGGTGCCTGGAGCCCTGTGTGAAACGTAAACCCAGCCTGTCCTCCTGTTGTCCTCCATGAGAGCCCCAGGTGCTGTGAGTCACCCTGACGTGCCTCTCCTCTGTTCCTGCAGATGGTCACCCTCTTCCAGATGTGGGTGGTGCCTCTGTATTTCACGATAAAACTGTACTGGTGGCGGTTCCTGGTCGTCTGGCTGCTCTTCTCAGCAGTCACAGCTTTTGTCACCTTCAGGGCCACTCGGAAACCCCTGGTGCAGACGACACCCAGGTGAGTGGACGCAGCCGTGGGGAAAGCTCAGCCCCGGGGTGAGCACTGCAAGGAGTCCTTTCAGGTTTCACTGCCCCAAATCGTAGTCTGAAGTTTCTGCTTTGGGAATCCAAGGACTGGGAGCTGCCGTGGCAGAGGCAGATCTGTAGCTTGAATTCAATTCCCGACCTCTGAAGCCACATTTTGTTGAAATCCCTAACTTGGAAATTAAAACGGTTCTGTTCATTCTGGGGGGGGGGAAATGGTCAGCAGCTTGTTTTGAATTCTTGCAGGCTGGTTTATAAGTGGTTTCTGCTAATATACAAGATGAGCTACGCCACTGGAATCGTGGGGTACATGGCTGTGATGTTCACCCTGTTTGGTCTGAACTTATTGTTCAGGTGAGCAAATCTTTTGGGTGTGAGTGCTGGGGGATGTGGCAAACCACGGGGAACGGGGTCAAAGCCAACTGCTGAATGGGGCAGGAGGCCAAAGAGAGACTTCTGGGGTGTCCTTTCCCCACGGATGGGGTCGTGGTGAGATGCTGATGGGGAGCTGTGCTTCCAGCTGCTGGCAGCTCCCTCCTGCTCCGTGCCTGTCCAGCCTGGGGGCAGTAGTGAGGTGTTCTTTGCTTCTCCAATAAACCTGCAGCTCAGGTCTGGCGGTAGCAACGGGCCTTATCCCAAGCCAGCTTTCATTTCAGAGAGATTAATTTCTTCTTGACTAATGAACAGACCTGGCAGCAGCCAACAGGGACGTGGAACTGTAAAGTGAGGGCTTCTTTGGAGAGGATGTGCCTAACCCTAACCCTGCAGCAAAGCTCTTGGTGTCGTGTGTTGTAGAATCAAACCAGAAGACGCGATGGACTTTGGCATCTCTCTCCTCTTCTATGGTCTTTACTATGGGGTCCTGGAACGGGACTTTGCAGAGATGTGTGCAGACTACATGGCCTCCACCATTGGGGTGAGTGAGGGCCACCCCGATAACAGGTTCTGGGATCGAGCTGCTTGCAGCAGGAACTTTTCCCTCCCCAAAATGGGAAGGTGTATCGAAATCCACCTGAGCCTTTAAAATCTCTGGTGCTGAAATGTGGTCATTTCTGGGGCCGTGTCTTAAGTGCATCAATTCTTTATCTGTAGCCACAATTCCCTGTGGCTTGTGCCCTCTGCAGCTTGTGGTGCGGACAGGGCCTGTGTTCCTGCAGTGGTGGCCTAAAATACAACACGAAGCAAAAACTGAACGAGGGCACCTGTGGGGTGAATCGCATTCCTCCTTTGCAACAGTCCTTTAGGGCTCTGAGAGCTCTGCATCCTTCCCCTCCTGCTCTCCAGGCTCACTGCTTTGCTTGCTGGACGTTCTGTCTGTCTGTAGGACTCAATCCTGTGGAGAAGGACCCAGGGGTCCTGATGGCCAAGAAGGCCAGTAGTGCCCTGGTTGGCCAGCAGTTGAGCACAGGCTGAACATGAGGCAGCAGTGAGTCCTGGTGGCCAAGAAGGCCAATGGTGTCCTGGTTGGCCAAGGGTTTGCCAACGATTGACCATGAGGCAGCAGTATGACCTGAAGGCCAAGGTGGCCAATGGAGTCTTGGTTGGTCAACAGTTGAGCACAGGCTGACCGTGGGGCAGCAGTGAGTCCTGGTGGTCAAGAAGGCCAACGATGTCCTGATTGACCAAAGGTTGGCCAACAGTTGACCACAGGCTGATCATGAGGCAGCGGTATTTATCCTAGAGGCCAAGAAGGCCAACGATGTCCTGGTTGGCCATGATACAGCAATCCTGGTAGCCAAGAAAGCCAACAATGTCCTGATTGACCAAAGGTTGGCCAGCAGTTGAAAAAGGCTGATCATGAGGCAGCAGTGTTTCCTAGTGGCCAAGAAGGCCAATGCTGTCCTGGTTGGCCAGCGGTTGACTACGATTCAGCAATGTCTCCTGGTAGCCAAGAAAGCCAATGCTGTCCTGGTTGGCCAATGGTTGACCGCAGGCTGACCGTGAGGCAACAGTTTGTCCTTGTGGCCAAGAAAGCCAATGGGGTGCATGGCACAGAACGTGGCCAACAAGGTGAGAATGATTCTCCTCCCCTCTGCTCTGCCTCGAGGAGGCCAAATCTGGAGCACCGCACCCAGCGCTGAGCTCCCCAGCTCCAGGCAGACAGGAAAACTGCTGTAGTCCTTTCCCAGGCGGTTCTATCAAAAGGTTTTTCAGCCCCAAAAGCTCAGGCTCTGCCTCAGCCCTCCCTGACGCTTCGCTGTGTGCTTTGCTCAGTTCTACAGCGCTTCAGGGATGCCCACCAAGCACCTCTCCGACAGCGTCTGCGCCGTCTGCGGCCAGCAGATCTTCGTGGACGTCAACGAGGAGGGGATCATCGAGAACACTTACAGGCTCTCCTGCAACCACGTGTATCCTTCTCCTCCACAGCCTTATGAGAGCCCTGCAGCTTTCCCCATTAAAAAAATGTGGCGTCCTGGGCTGCTCTGCTGATGTTGCAAATGGGAATGGACGACATCTCTGCCCCGCGTGGGCTTTCCACCACCTGCAGCTGTGCTGTCAGTTCCGAAAGTGGAAGTGGCTTTGGCTTTGTTCAGCTCTGCTGATTAGTTGGGCTTCTTGTTTTTTCTTTTTCTCCTGCTGGCTCTGACTCAAGGGATGGAGATGGGAATGCGCTGTCACACTGTTTGCAGCCAGGTGCTTTCCCAGCTGCTCCAGGAGCGCTGCAGGCTGGCTTGGGAGTGCTTACAGCCGTGGGGCTGAGCTTGTGGCTGCTGGAGGAGGTGGGGCAGAGCTGTGGGGCTGCTGGAGTGGGTTCGTGTCGGCTGCTTTGTGGGTGAGGAGCCAGCCTTGCCTTCCCCAGACCTCGTGGTTCTGGTGATGTCTGTGTCACACAGCCCTGTGACTTGGGGTTTGCATTGGGCAAATCCCTCTGACGGCACTTGGCAACAGGCTGAGAAGTATTAAAGGAACTGGTGAGCTGGCAGAGTTGGGGCTTGTGATGCTCGCATGATTTGCAGAGGCGCTGTCTGGCCTCGCAGACCTTCCCCCACATGGGTTTCCCCGTGCCCCACTGCTGGCTCCTGCCCTCCCCTGGCTGCTCAGCAGGATCTCGCAGCCCTTCCTGCAGCTTCAACCCCTTGCTCTGTGCCTAGAAGGCTCTGGGCCTTCTAGGAAAGGTTTTGTCCTCACTCAGCACAGGCAACTTCCCATGCCCTGCATGCGAGGTCAGTTCCTCCCAGGAGGTTCCCCTTAACGCTGCTCTCCAGCTTCCACGAGTTCTGCATCCGTGGCTGGTGCATCGTGGGGAAGAAGCAGACGTGTCCATACTGCAAAGAGAAGGTGGACCTCAAGAGGATGTTCAGCAACCCGTATCCTTTCTCTGTGCAGCAGCAGCAGCAGCAGCTGGGCTGACAGCGTGGGTTCAGCTCCCAGCCCTGCACGCTCTGATCCTGGAGCTGTGGAGCAGCTGTAGGAGCCAAGAAGCACAGAACCCTGAAATGGGTTGGGTTGGAAGGGACTGTACCAGCCATCCACTTCCTGCCCCTGCTGTGTGTTGATGTCAGATAGTGCTGAGGTCAGGGCATCAGGCCACACAGCTGAGTGGCTTTGTGTGCAAAATGGAGTGATAGAATGGTTTGGGTTGGAAGGGACCTTGAAGCTCACCCACTCCCAACCCCCTGCTGTAGGCAGGGACACCTCCCATAGCCCAGGCTGCTCACAGCCCCATCCAGCCCGGCCTTCAGTGCTTCCAGGGAGGAGAAATAGATCTGTGTTGCGTTGCCTGGCAGCTTCCCCTTACCTGGTGACCCAAAGCTTAGCTGAAACCCACCAACTTCAGACCGCTTTCGTGCTTCCTTCACTCGTTTGCACGCAGCTGGGAGCGACCTCACGTCATGTACGGGCAGCTGCTGGACTGGCTGCGCTACCTGGTGGCCTGGCAGCCCGTTATCATCGGCCTGGTGCAGGGCATCAACTACATCCTGGGCCTGGAATAAGGGCTGGCAGCTCCCCATCCCCACCACGGGCAACAGCACGGCGCCGGCCGCATCCGTCCATCCCCACAAGGGGGGGTTCGGCCACCCCTGGGGGGGGGAAGGAACGAAGCAGCGCGGACTCAGCCCTCCTCCCGTCGGGGGATCCGGACCGGTTTTTAAACGAAACGATTCTTTTAATGAGAGTATTTAAAAACGACACACACACACACAAAAAGGAAACTTGCTGTGGCCGCCGATGAGAACGGATCGTCCCGGCGGCCGCGCAGCGCTGCGCTCGGGGCTGGATCTCCCAATCCTGCAGCTTTCGAAGGACTGGGGCTCATCTCCAGGTTATTCTGTGCTTGGAAAACGGCAGAACCCACCGAGGAAAGACACACGGCTGCCCTAAAACGCTTAACCTAAAACCCCCGCTTTGATGCGAGGCGGGGGGAGGAAGGAGCCGATTCCGAGCCCGCTGCTTTTTGTACACCGTCTTTTCTACGTGTCCCCGTGCCGGGAGTGTGCTGCCCTCGGCCGGCGGGATCTGCGGTACACGGAGCCGTGGGGGCACCCACGGGAACCTCCGCACATCGGTTGCTCTTTAGCAGCGGATGGAAGGACGGAGGCGTGGGGCTGAGGAGCTCTGCTCTGCTTCCCCCGGTGCGTGGAAGCCCCGGGTTTTGTGGTCGGCGACGTGGTGGCGTTCCGGTGACTCTGAGCCGCGTGGCCGAGACACACGGATGCCGTGATGGCCCACCTGCCCCCCATCGTTCCCATTTTAGGGGCGAAACCGATGGGATGGCGGCTGCGGTGCCATCAGAAAATCAATCGGTAATAAAACGTCTTCGAAAAGCAGCGGGCTGCCAGGGACCTCTCCGTTAATTAACGCTTCGTCGGGCCGAGGGATGGAAGAGGAAAAAGAGCGGGGGTTCCCCTCGCTGTCATCCCCGGCGATCGACGCTGCTCCCGGCTCTGTCGCGACTTTGGGGAGGTCCCCGCTTTACGGGAAAGGGAGAAGGAAGGGCAAAGCCGGTGACTCACCGCTCCCTGCCCATAAAACGGCGCCGTCCCGAGCGCTGCCGCACGATGGCTTCGTGCTCCCACCCCGACGGTACGGGCACGGCGTTCCGGGGATGGGATTTGGGCTATGGGGGGGGGGG